CTTCTAGGGGGGGGTGTTAGGTAACAGTAGTCTAGAGAGTGTATAGGGATTAGACAGGTAAGGGGGTACCCCTCCGTCCCATATCTTGCCTGGTATAATCTCCAGACTTCGAGGAGTGCTGAACATTGACCCTACACCAAGCTCAACCAGTGTCTGATTGCTTTCATTCTTTACAGAATACTGGAGGTAAATTAGATTATCCCTGGGTAACTTTCAGCGGGTTTACCCAGGGTGTAATAATTACAATGTTGAAAGCACCCTGACGTAATAGAAAAGGCACACTGGACCGGGGACGAAGGTTTTTTTTCTCTTTATACACCTAAATTTATTACAGACTGCAGATCTATAAAGTAAAACACTTTTGAATTTGATACATTTGAGAAAACCTCTCCAAACATTTATATCATTTCTTCGCCAACTAATTGTTATTCAACAAATTTCCATATTTGACAACATACTGAAATAATAACGGAAGCCTGGGAGAGTAAAACCAGAAAAGTGTTTTGCTTTAAAAACTATAGGCCTATCCAACTTAGACGAGTATGGACATGATCGGCATAAAAGAATAAACAAGCTAACAATCTCACACGTCGGCCAAATTTAGGATATTATGCATCAGCAAAATCACTTTGACTTTAGTTGATCCTCCACACTTGGAAAATTGCTCATGAAATCAAAATCAAACAATTGTTTGTTTCAAACAATGAGCAACAATATCCATTATAAAATATAAATAACAACAGATTAACCGACTCAACAAAACTTTATTTGTACTGCTCCTGACAAGACCTCAACATGGACGCACTTGTAGGCAGGGTTCCGAACAAATACGGCATCATGGCTTCCACAAAGTATTTGTCTTTGCCGAATGAATAGCCTACGCCTCACTCCACACGTGTTTGTTTCTTGGAATTCTATGCGTAAAAATCAACAAATAAAACAAATTATGTCAATGAAAAAACTGATGGCATACATCTGAACTGAATAATTTCCAACAGAAAGATTCTACTAAAAATTTGACTGTTGTTGAGGCCTATTGCAATCGGTATGATTTTTGTTTAAAAATGATACTTACGACTGAAAGGCAAGTCCTATTGCGCGGTTATCGACTGTCCGGACTGAGGGCATCCAACGGCTGTGCAAGTCCGAACAATTTTTCATCAATTCTCCCTTAAAAAAGAAACTGGAGCAGCACATTCTTCAGACAGATTAATTTCCCCGTGCGCAGCACACTTGTCGTGAGCGTGACGATCTGCTGTAGCGATCGTAATTTCAACTTTCAAACCCTCCACGATGAAACGCGTGCGTGCACAAGATGGAGGGCGCTGTGTCCTATCCAGTCTTTATAATGGAGATCAGTGGTAGCTAACCTGTTCGGGCACTGGGCAACGAGTGAACGCGCACTCTCCCTTTTAGCGTCAATGGATTAATTCAAACTACAGAATGCGCTAGATTTGTTTAGGTTTTTGTTTGACTTTTGGCATTGAGCGGTAGCAAACATTTTGTTTGCGTTGCTTATGTTTTTTGATATTATTCCCTCGATTTCCTGGGGTACCAGTCAACAACTTAAGTCTTATAATGAATTATTCATGTAGTTTATGTGGTGTTTGCTAATTGTTAAGTGCTGTAGTCACATGAGGGCGCTATTCATGTTGTCCATAAATCGCTCGGTACGTTGCCGTGTAGTAATCTTGGTGTTTTGGACATGCTATGCGGACACGAGAGATAGTGCCAGGTTTAACAATGCATTCATTTATAAAATGTTAATGGCTTGGTTATGTGAGTTACAGATAAATGCAAATGGTTAGATATTTAATAGTCCAGATCGATTAATAGAGGGATTAAGTTGCAATCAGTTAAGCTCCGGTGCCCATGAATATACGTGTAAATTGGTCGTTCGCGCCACAACCTTGGATCACGGACGTATATG